GAAACTGGGATTACTATGGGGTATAAATATGTAAGCCTTTGTAAGAAAGCCCTTATGACATCGTTGTTTTTTTTTTGCGGGGAAATCAGGGAAATTCCTGGTTTCAGCTGATCTTTTCTTTAGGCTGTTTTGTCTACGTCATGAACCCTGCAAGTTCGTGGGAACTGCAGGAACCCGTAATTCTACATGACTCATCTATAGATTCTGCAGTTTCTACAGCAGAAGCCGCATGAGCTTAGGAACTTCTAGGAGAGCCTCCATCCCTTTGATGCCTCCTGGAGCGCCCCCCCCCCCCAACTCATTCTGAGCACCTTCCCAACGTCTTCCTTTCAAAATCCCTTTTGCCTCTCTACATCTCCTCGTCTTCTGAACAAGACAAAAGATTGCAATAATTTTGGCTTTCCACCTGGACACCCAAGGAAATGTGCTTATTGAGCTTCCAGTTTGTTCTGTTTAGCATGGTGGCCGTGCTTTTGATTTTCAACCCTTCGGCTGAGACGACCTGGGTCTTTGCAGGGGTGCTGGCATTTCTTCTGGCCTGTGTATGCGGCTACTTTGCTCTACATGTTGTGGCGCAGTTTTTACGAACATCTGCAGCCAATGCAGAAGACAGCGAGAATGAGGAGAAGAGTGGCACGGACACTCCTGCAACCACGCCCGTGTCCAAGACATCTAAAGCCTCCAGGGCGAGAAAGAAGAAAAGTTTGCCTGCCCGTTTTGCAGGCGGGACTGCAGTCCCAAATGAGGTGTGCAGTTTTGGAGCTTGTTGTGTATTTTTTTGTTCTGGTTCGGGGGTGGCATGGTAAGCTGAGCTGCCGATAGTTGGAGGTCATGGTACTTGGCGCAGTAGCTTCTGTCAACCCGAGGCGCAATCAAGCGGCTTATGCTGCGCTGGGCACTGCCCCTCTTCCAGGAGGCTGGTGATGAGAAGTTCGTGGTGGAGTGCCCGTTCTGCAAGGAGTTGTGAAACTCAACGAAGCAGCATGTTGTCGTTCATGGTCGCTAGACAACACAGTGCCAGTTGCTTGGGTGAAGCTCTTTCAAAAGTGTGCATTCCTTTTTTGAGGTGTGGGCTGCTGAAGAGCTTCCCTCGAGTTGTCAGCAGTTGCAATTTGGGAGCTGAGGTGGTCAGTCGAATCCGAGGAAGCAACTTTGGTAGTCCCTGGCACGTGCGACCAGGAGCGTAGCCGGGGCAGATTCGTGACCTGGCAGGGCTTGACCTTCGCGTTTGCGTTTTGTGTTGACTACGGTTTACCGCAGCCTGAAGGCTGCAGAGTCTCCTGAATTTGCTGCCGACTTTGCCTTCCTGGAGTAAGTTTCTGAGGTGTCCTTGGCAAAAGCTGTGAGGGCGTCGCTCTTGCACTTTGGGTCGGCTGTGCAGCGGCAGGTCCTCGTAAAGGCCCGTTCGCAAAGAAAGGCCAAAAAGTGACCGAGTTTTGCTGTGCGCATCTGAGGCGTTGTCGGAGTTTGCGACGCTGTGGCTGGACGAGTTCGAGCAGAAGTACTTGTCTGCTGACGCTGTTCAGATCCTGTGCGCTCTGGCCACCGCTGCCCGACATGTGCCACCGAAGACGCCGAAGAGACTCGTGTATCGCAAGTGGAAGAACGAAGTGGAAACACTCCTCGAGCATGTAGGCATCACAGACCACCGCGAACGAAAGTGGCATGCGGCTCCAGAAGAGATTCTGGAAGTAACGCAGCGGCTTGCCAAGTTGGGTTCCAAGGATTCCGTCCGTTTAGTGGCTGGGTTGCATCTCAGAGTTGCAGGGCACAACGACAAGGCCGCAAATTGGAATCGTGCATGGGAAAGAGTTGAGCAAAAGACTGCAACTCGAGATCAGCAACTCTAAGCAGGATCTGCCTAACACTTCCCTGACCAAACGAGGTCATGCTAAAAGTCACAACGCGTGTCAAAATCAGGATTCCCGAGATGATCAAAGAGAGATCCTTGTGCCCAGAAGGTAGCCAGAAGGTAGCCAAGTGAGTCGCGCATGCAAGGGGTCTAAAGCACGGTTTCTTATGGTTGAAACACGACCAAAACGTGAGATGCCATGATCAGAAGCCACCTCAGCGGCAGCTTGAAGATAGAACCAGATTCTACAAGGTTGTTCTTTCAAGAGAGTTTTTCTGCAAGCCCTTGCTTCAGTGCCCTCTGTCTCATTTCTTGCTACACTCATCTGCACAGAGTGGATTGCAAGCTGGGGTCCTGCTTCAAGCAGCCTGCATCAAATGCAATCCGTGTACTGAGCCTGGTGGGCCTAGTGGCAAAGCCCGGATGCAAAGCCGACAAACCCTTAACCCCAACATGTCAAGCTATGAGTTCCCAGTTCCCAAAGTTCCGGTCGTGATGTGATGGAGGAGCCAGGCGGGAGAAGATCAAAGATGGAAACCTGAATTGTAGGACATAGTAGGCATGGTTCAACAAAATTGTTTACAGTAGAGTTCACAGTAGATTATCCTCAAGCCCCTAATTCCTCTTCTTTGTTCTAACAGCCCAAATAATCTACTCAAAATTCTACTGTAGTTTGTTCCCATGAATGATAGTCTCCAACATAATCCTAAACCCTAAACCCTAAAGAAGCTGGAAGGAGGGATTTCCCGAGAAGTCCGGTGGTGGCTCCCTCATTATTTCCCTTTTGAGACTCAACCCTACACGTTAAACCTAAAACCCTAAACCCTGGTTTAGGGTTTAGGGTTAAAGGTCCTAAACCCCTAAACCATAAGAAATTTTTCGAGCCGAGGTAGAGGCAGTCCAAGAGGTGCTGCGCTTTGAGAAGCGCAGGAGACCTCTGCCGGCGAAGGCGCCAAAGCCGGAGGATGCGAAGGACCCTTATTCTTACCATTCTTACTATTACTATTATTTGAGCTATTATCTAAACTCCTTATTACTATAGGGGTTATTAAGGGGTATAGTTTATTTGTCTCCATACTATCATCACTAGTAGTATTATTATGAATATCGTCCCCTTAGATTTTTCTCATCAAGGGGAACAATCTGTACGTGAGACAGTGAGCGTCCAGAACTCCGTTCTTCCTCTTGAAGTGATGCATGTGCATAGGTAGTATTGTAGTCGGACCTCATACCAGGCATATTGGCATTCTCGCATGGTTCTTGTTGCGTCTTATGTTGCTCGCAGTCCTTTGGGTTGTTTTGGGTAAAGGGTTGAAGGTTCTGGGTATCACGCTTCCGAACTGGATGCTTATCTTGCACGTGCACTTCCAAATTTCAAAGAAGCAGCCAACACGCAAGTTAAGCCAAGCCCCAGCCAAAGCAAAGAAGCGCGTAATGCGGTATCGAAGGAGCGCAGTGCTTACTTTGTGGATAGTCTTCCATGTTAGATTTTGCAGATTGGGTCCAGTTTCATGGCCGCTCCCTGACTCTGTCTTTCTGGGGAATGCTCGCATTGCAGGATGAGCTGCCTTCAGACTCCAGAGGTCAGACCCTTTGTGCTCATTTCAGCAGATGGGGCAAGTACGCAATGCTGTGTGTTAAGCCAGGCCTGGAAAATGCATCGCTACTGAGGCCTGGAGCACAATCGCCCAGAAGAGCCCGTGTGCTTTGACAGCGTCTTGGTGCCCCAGGTGCGGACTGAAAGTCAGCTCCAGAAAGGGGTTTCGTTGCATTGTGTCATCATATTATGCTTGGACTCCGAGGGGGCCCTACTCTTGGAATCGCCACGTCATTCTCAGGCACTTCAGGGAGCTCGCTCATCTTTCTTTGGTCCCTGAGCTAGGATGCTGAGTTACAATCTCTTGCCGTGCCGACGCTCAAAGAAGCGTGCTATCCTGCAACTCGGCCGTATGGCATGGCCTGCAGCCTTGCAACGCTGGTTCAGGGTGCAACAACTGAGGCCCCTGAGGACATCGTGCCGCTGCCAAAGGTGGAAGTTCGAGAACAGGCATTGCGGGTGCCTGTCGAATACATGACATTCCTGCGTGGGAAGTAGCTGTTTACCCAAGGCCGTGCAGACTTCTGTGGTGGCCAAAAGAAGCAGGGAGGCAGAGACGTCGCAGAAAGCTATCGACTGGCTTACCACGCGCGGCTGAATCCTTTCTTCTTTTAGAGGCAGAGTCTGGAAAGCGCATGGACAAAGCACCTGCGACAGACGAGCACTCATGTGACAGCGCGTCACCTGTTAATGCAAGGAAGATAATGCACGAAGGCCCCGGGGTTGCTAAGCAACTTCTGCGTTGCAGAAAAGCAGTTGACGCAAATTAAGCGTATCTAGTTGCAGCGCAACAATGTTGTCCGGGTTGGAACACTGGAACCTGGGTTCATGCCCATTGCGCAGCTTTTCTTGCAAGTGCCGTTTCTCTCCGGGGGCCATACCCCTGTCATAAGTGAGACGCTCATTTCAGGTTTGGAGCAAAACTTGTGGACTGCTTGCATGTGCATGTGGGTAGCCCCATGTCTGTTGGCATGTCACGGTGTCAAGCGTGCTTTTCTCCGGAAACCTTCGATCTTTTGCTCAGGGAATCCAAGGTCAAGAATGTATAGTTTGGTGGCTGCTGGGTAGGCCCGGGTAGGCTCAGCCCTATGTCTGCTTCGATGGTTGGAAGAATATGCAGATCCTGCAACTGGTCTGCAGCATTGCTTGGTGTTCTGCAATTTTAGGAACATGTTTGAAATCTGTCGGGCCGCGGGCCTAGGTCATGAACGCAAACGCGGGAAACGAGGCCTGCCTTTGCACATGAAGAATTTGCCAAAATTCTTGAGAGCCGCAGGATGGATTTCAAGAAGCCTACCGTGCGCAGCTGATACATGACATTTCACAGTGCCCTGGCTTTTGAATCTGACATGCTGACACATGCTGTCTTTTTATAAAGAGATGCTTTCAGTAGATCATCGTTCTGCAGTGTTTTCTTCGAAGAATTGCTGGGGCTGCGATGCTTTTTTGGAAGCACAACTTCGGCTAAGCGATGGCACGCAGAAGGAGTGGCTGTTGACATCCTGCAGTGCAGTGGTGCTCCAGCTAATCGTTCAGTGACTTTGTTGGGGAGCATCGCATGTTTGAGAGCAAAGGCTTGATGAACTGCGCCCGGCAGTGCTCACTGGTGTCTCGAATGTATTGTGCAGCCAACGTGGAGCCGCATTCTTCCTCACCTGCCTCGCGCAGCATGCTGGGGAAGCCGAAGTAGCCGTTGAGCTGCAGCGCTTCGGAGAAGCTGGAAATTTGTTTTCACCTGAGATTTGTCGGAAGAAGTTCCGAGAGCTTTTGATTGAGCTTGACGAACGGTAGCTTTGATGCATACAGCAGAGTGATGTATGACGATGTCAGCCTGGCACTTACCAGTATTGTTTTGTTCACACTCCTGCAGGCAGAGTCAGCCAGTCTGGCTGTGCGACGAGCAACTGCTCAAGGGACTGGCGCTGGTTCATGATATTGGCATGCTTCCAATTTTCGGCATTGGCCTCAGTCGAGCGAAGAAAGGCTTCCTTCCGGAATCAGAAGGGGGCATGCCTCGCAAAAGTGCTTCTGCCACTGAGGCGGAGCTGACCTGCTACCCACAATGCCCAGCCTACGCCCCCAGTCGCTGGCTGCTGTCTGGATTGCTTCGCCTGGAGCTTGCAGCTGTTGGCGCAGAGATCCGCTGTGTTGGAGCCACTGGCTTCCAAGGTTCAGGGCGATTTTTGCCGGGGGGTAGCATATATATATATATGCATATATGTATACATATATATGTGTAACTGTATATATATATATCTATAGTATAGTATGCAAATTTGGGGGTTTGCGTTCTGTGTGTGGGGTCCAGGGTTTGGGTTTGTAGCCTTTGGAGTTTAGATGCCAGAGCCGGGAGCTTCGGGCCTTGGCATGGTGAATTCAAGAAACTCGGCAGCTCCACATAACCCACTCCCCGTATAGTCCCCCTGAAGTAGATAGAATATGGTTTTGGGTATGTTGCAATAAGGTCCCCATATACCCCATATTCTGTCTACTTAAGGGGGACAATAATATTATATCCACCCACCCGTAATCTTAAATATGATTAAACATGCCCAATATGTTAAAATGCTATTAGGGGGGTGTGAGGTTTTATGTTAGGGGGTGGGGATTATCCACATGCATCGAACCAGACCGTGTTTAGGCAGGCCTAGTTCAAGATCTTGTGAGGCACTTGCATCTTGTTGATGCTGGGAAGTGCAACCATCAGACTGGGTCCACACAGCGCCTCTCCACCGGCAGCATTGCCTCCTGGATTCTGTGGAGCAGCAGTGGCTCCGCTTTCTGCAGGCAGCGCCCGGGAGTGCAGTGTTTGCGTTAGAGCTACTTGGCTAAAGCCTTTGCATCCGAGACTTGAATTGAAAAGCTATTTCTTTCAAAGCCAAGGCCGGGGAGTTAGCGGTGATACCCACGGGCTGGTGGTATTGCTTGCGGAGTGAAGTGCCTCGGCATGCTCCAGACTTTTTTTTTGGGAAACTCTGCACATAAATGAGCCTCTGCACGCCAGAGTGTGGCCTGGGAAGCCTAGGAAAAAGTTTTGGCTTTGCAGCTGCAGCGCCTGGGCCGCGCCTCTGCGACCCGGGCTTTGCCTGAACTGCTGGAAGCTTTCGGTCAGCAGTTGCCCGACAGGGCCTTGCCAGAGCTGCCGCAGCCTCAGCCTTTCGTGAGGGGAGGTCAGTTGCGAGCCTCAGCCTTTTTGCAAAGGCTGGCCCAAAGTTTGGAGAAGGTTGCCTTTCGGAAGCATTGACTGCCATGGTTTTGGATGATGCCTGTTCTCTCCAGCCTAAGCCCTGTCCATATCCCACGTTCAGGTCTCGCAGCTGCATATGATTGATGGTCTGCGACGCTGCTGCAATGGTCTCTTTCCTGTTCCAAAAGAAGTGCTGCAGCCGCTCATCAAGCCTCTGGCTGCTGCTTGGCAGATGAGTGCGTGTGCTCAATTTGCCTTTGCAATGTCAAGCGTTACCTGCGGGGCAAAATCGATTGAACCTGTCTTACTTTTTTGATGGTTCGGAAGGAGCGCAGTGAGCCAGAGCTGATGCAGGCCATGTTGCTCTAGACACACAGTCAGACATGCATCAGCACGACTCCCACCTCGGACTGTGAGCGCTCTGCTTGAAGTTCGAAATAAACATACGTCGGGGTCAACATGCCTGATATGAGTCTCCAGCATTGCAGAGGTTTTTGACGTTATGTTCATGCATGCCTGAAGTACCGTCAGCGGTTGCTGTCCTACCGTGGCCATCAGGCGATGTGGCAGCTCAGCGAGCGGTTTCCTGATTACGTGGTGTCCGGATGCTCACTTCCTGCTGATGCCGCTTGCTTCACTGGTGCCTTGACAGAACCATAGAGGGTCAGAATCTACTGCTTTGCTGACCGCAGTTGATGCTGTAATTCTTGCCCTATTAATTACAGTCGTCAAAGAAGATTCCTCCTACTAACCTCCCACTCCTTCTCGTACTACTAGTTCCACTGCGACGAGGACGAGGACGAGGACGAGTACTGCTAATAACCGCTGCCTACTGCTGTCTCTGCCTCTGCCACCTGCCACTGCCACTGCCAGCACTGCCATCACCAGCACGCGCCGGCATTGGCGACGGCGGCGACGGCGACAACGATGAATACCACTACCGCTACCGCTACTGCTACTTGCAATATCTTGTAATCCTTTCCCCGTGATATTAAAGGCCCCCCCCAATGTATATACGCCGACTCGTATTTAGTTCTAGGAGGGGGGCTATTATTCATGGTGCGATGCGAACATTAGGTGTGGGGGTAGAAAACAGGATCCTACTGAAATCTAATGAACACCGAATAAAAGATCGATTAAATCGAATACAAGCCGATTAACCAATACCCTATAATACCCTAATCAAATACACTTATATTAGATTAGTAACCGTTGAAATTTAATGAATATCTAATAAAACCATTTCAAATCAATTCAAGAGCCTAAGGAAGCCCATTAACATCTATTCAACATCTACATAAAATCTAATCGAAAGCTAAGTAGAATCTGATTAAGATCAAGTGATTTTTTGTTGCATCTAACTCGAATGTAAATGAAAATCGCAAAAACCGATGAAGATTCGCCTTCAGATTTTATAGAGATTCCTTTATAAAAACCATTCAAAAACAATCAACATCTAGGAAATGAATGATCCCGCCGCCACCACGGCTGCCACAACTTCGGCTGCCCGCCGTCATGATGCATTTTTCAGCATAACCGGCATGATCGGTGCTTTTCTCCGCGAGGCCCATCCCTGGAGGCGTTTGTCGCCACTTCTGGCTTCTGGCGGCCCTATCCTACTTCATGCAAGGTTAAGGCCACAGCCCTGGTGGACCTGAACCAGCTGCCGCTGCCTGGCGCCTCTGCCTTGTGGCGATATGGGTTCATATTTCAGGGAACTCGTTCATAAAACTTGGCATCGTGCTCCCTTGTGAAATTAAGCTTTGAGCTCTTGGCAGGGAAGAGAACTTCAAAAGCGTCCAGGGAGTCTTGTTCCAGTCTTGCATGTTATTCCAGGCCTTGGGCTTGTGCACGGCTTGTGGCCTTGACATGTTCTGGCTGATTCCTTGCAGAGGTCACGCTATGACAATGACCTCTTACAGTCCAGGCGGGCTGCCGCGTGTCATCTGGATGTTCTGGGCAAACGGTCAGGAGGGCCTGGGCCCGTTCCAGAAAGCCTGCATCAATTCTTGGGTTTACAGGAACCCAGGTTGGCAAGTTCTACTGCTGAGTGCCCAGTCCTGCTTTGAGTATCTTGTGGAGCAAGACCTGCCGAATACCTGGCACCACCTGCGGCTGGATGCCGCTGCTGATGCAGTTCGCCTGGCTCTCCTCTCCAAGTTTGGAGGTGCGGGCGGCTAACAATCGGGGGGCAGGGATTCTGGGGTTTATTTCAGGATCGAAAAGGGGCAATTTGGAGATATACCCAGGTGTCTACGTGGATGTGAGTGTCGTTTGCAACAAGAGCTTGGAGCGCTGGCTTCTGCCGCGGATGGAAGGGAAAGGCCTGGCAGCCTTCGTTTTCAAACACTTCGGCCGACAAGAGTGCCAGAACCACGGAGAGTACCTTGAAAACTGGTTCCTTGCATGCCCGCCCAGCAGTGAACTCATGTGTAGCTGGCGGGATGCTTTCAAGCGCTTCTGGCATGGCCGGACAAGTGCATTTGACCATGGAGGCTTGCAAGCCAGCGAAATGTTCCGGGGAGTGGACCTGAGCTGTATGCAGGATTCTCAGAAGAATTACTTGACTATGCACTGTTGCTTCAAGTGGCTCATTGACTCTGACTCGAGAGCAAGAAGCCTCTGGAAGACAAGCACTGTGCTGTTCGCTGCTGATGACGCACTGGGGTGGATCCTTGATTTAGAGGGCGTGGGCACGGACTGGGCAAAGCGAAACCTTGCCGGACGTCATGCGGCGCGTTGGTTGTACCGGGATGACGTGTCCTGGGTGTCTGGGCTGGTACAGAGGGCGGTGGCTCTGAAATTTGTAGGCTTGCATGCGCGAGTTTTTGATAGGCAGCCGTCTCACCATCTGCTGCGGTTTGGTAGCTGCATGCGGCGCTTGCTGCAACATGCTTTGCCAAAGCAATCTAATGCAGAGGTCCTGGATTGCCAGGACCACGTGCCGGTACTTAGGCTGGACTTTCAACTTGCCGAATGAATGAGCACTAGACACGACATTTTGCGCGCTCTTTGTCTTACGCAGTCTGAATTGCTAAGCAATCTTTAGAAACGCTTCACGAGCCTCAATTTGCCGCATTTTAGGCCCAACAGCTGCAACCATGTATCCTGACTGTCAGTTTGCTTTAGGGACCTGTCATCATAACATCTCATAACACAACAGCACGCCTAGCTAGTACATGCAGATGCCCGACTGACCTGCAATGGATGCATCTGGGGCCGGGCAGGGTTGTGGGGTTCATTTATTGGTCATGATAGATCAGGCTTTCAAAGCCTAAATCCTAAATAGTAGTTTCCAATTTATTTAGCATTATCCCTATAAGCCTATATAACACCGATATTCCTTACACGGAAGCATCCCCAAGGTTAGGTCCTTGCCTCCGTTCCAGAAGATCTTGTACCTTTACTGGTTGCCACTGTCTGCGTTTCGCCTTGCAATGAAAGGAAACAGGTCCACAATCACTACCCTGCCCGAATGGCTATTGCTTTCTCTTATTCCTATATAATATGTGGCTCCTAAACCCTATATGAACCCTATATATATATATATGCGTATATATGTATATCCCTATAAATCCTTCTAACCTATGTACTACCTTTATAACCCCCGTATGCTTTCCAGGCTTCGGGCGGTGATCCAGCCGCAAACTCGTTAAAGTTCCGGGTGTGACGCCCAGAAATTGTGCCGAGAAGTCCAGGGTTTAGGGTTTAGGACTTAGGTTTTAGGGTTTAGGGCAAGTCATTTCATCAGTTTCATCACCAATTTGTTTTCAGAGCTGTGGTATTGTTGTGTGAGCTCTTTTGTTCCTGTAGATTTCCTGGAGGGAGCTTGGCCACTTTCAGCCAGCAGCCCTGTACCATGGGGTGCCCTTCAGTCTGGCAGAGTCTGCGGGAGTCCAGAAGCAACACAGGGTGTACAAAGGGACTTTACTGGGAACCCCAAACCGGGAACCCCAAGAATATGGTAGGTATATAATCGGAATTTATTACCAGGGCCCTTATCTTCCATTATGTTCCTGCTATATTCTTGGGGTTCCCTATTTGGGGTTCCTAGTAGAGTCCCTTTAGTGTAGGGCAAGGGGCAAAGAATCATGCGGGCGTCTGCTTTCATCAGAACCATTGTCATAATTTTGTCATGCTTGGTGCTAATTAGTACTGTGGTTCCTGCATGTTCCTGCTATACTGGTAGTGATAATTCCCTCCCCCTCAGAAATATAGCCCAATACCGTACCAGCAGTATCCACTATCAGCACAATCATGGTAATATGCAACCCCAGCTTTAGATTCATGTTCCATTTCTTGTTCATTTGATTCTCCACTGCTGGTACCCTAAACTCTGTATGGCTTTGACATTTACAGATTTACAGTATACTTGTACCCTAAACTAGGCCCCAGAGCCTGCAGTCATCGGCCAGTGAGAGCTCGGTGTTTGGCTGATGTCCAGGACATGAACTCCCCAAAGTGTGTAGGGTAATGGTCTGTTTGGCTACTTTTAAGGGTTCTGGGCCATGATCTTACCTTGAGGGTCCAGATAAAAGAGAAGCTCATCCAAAGAGAGGCTCATCCAAGCTAAAGGACAGTAGGCTGGCCGCGGGATCTAGGAGTGCAGATGATCAGGGCATGCACGCTGCTTGGATACGAAAGGTGGCATTTCGCGGATCGCTTGCAAGTTGCGGCCTGGCTGCTGCATGTCTGAATGATGACAGGCGTCATTTACTGCTGGAAACCCTGCTGTCAATTCGCAGGGCTTTGCATGCGGCTGTATGCGTCGGAAATATGGCATGTCGGTACAAGTCCTTCTCATGGCTTCACGGCCAAGAGCCACAGGAAGCCTACAAGACACTGCTGTCCAAAACACATGAGGACTGTGCCCAGCTTGCTCTGCAGATGTGCAGCAGCAACGGTGGCCTGTTTGTCAAAATCGGCCAGCACGCCGCAACGCTAGCCCCTGCAGTGCCACCGGAATACGTGCGGCACCTTTCGCAGCTGCAGGATCGTGCACCGGCTGGATCTTGGCAGGATGTGAAGGCGGTCCTCGGCTCTGAGCTCCAGCTGCCGCGTGATACAGATTTGCCGAGTGCAGATGGGGTTTTCACCGAGTTTGATGTCGAGCCCGTCGGCAGCGCATCCTTGGCGCAAGTCCATCGTGCAAAGTTACAGGACGGTTCGGAAGTTGCTGTCAAAGTGCAGCATCGCGACATTGAGTCCGTTGTGTCCAGCGATATCTTCATTGTCCGCCGCCTGGAATGGCTGATGAGCCAGCTTTTCAGAGATGAGGGGTTCTCAATGGCATGGGCCATAGATGAGTTCGAACGGAACGTGCAGCATGAACTAGACTTCCTTGAGGAAGCAAAGCACGCGGCGCGCTGTCGTGAATGTTTCGAGCATCATGACTCAGATTGGGCGGCATCTATCTCAATACCGAGGGTCTATCATCACCTGTCAACGCGTAGGCTACTAGTAATGGAATTTTCGCATGGGACTGCGATTAGCACCGTTGTCAAAGCTGCAAAGAAGCGGACACAGGGGCTGAAGCTGTCCGCCTGCGAAGAGCAGGCGGCAAACGTGGCAGCTGTGGCAGCGAAACTCCTTGTTGAAGCCTTCGGAGCCATGGTGTTTGCATTCGGATACGTGCACTGTGACCCGCATCCGGGAAACATCCTTGTAGAGATCGGTGCATCAGGCTCAGAGTCAACCCGGTTGGTAATCCTGGACCATGGACTGTACAGGGAGCTCTCGGAAGAGAGGCGACTGGCCAACTGCGGACTTTGGCAGGCAATGGCGTTGCAAAATGCAAAGGAGTTGAAGAGCCACTGCCGCACCTTGGGGATTGACAGCAGCGCCGCAGAAATACTGCCACTCTATTTCACAAACCGCTCCCTTGAAACCAAGGCTGGCCTAGGACAGAAGATCACAACCAAGCAAAAACAGGAGTTGCAGGTAAAATTACAAAGCCTGGGCATCTTACCGCGAAAAGCCAGCGCGGCTTCTTTCGCCCTCTCTGGCCTGGGTATGCTCGCTGATCGAATCCCGGGGGACATGCTAATGGTGATGCGTACGATGCATCTCGTGGCAGCTTTGCATCGTGATCTGGGAGGCAAGCCCGCAGACCGTTTTGCATCCTACGCGTTGGCTGCTGCGCGGGGCAGCCACGCCAAGGCTTGCAAGCCGGCATGGTTGCCATTGCAGCGCGTAATCATGCATGTCAAGGCTTGGGCTTTCAAGGCACGGCTTTGGCTGAGGGAGCTACGTTTATTCCTGTGCGGAGCAATGTCCATGCAGGCCAAGGAAGAGTTCTCGATTGCAAGGAGCCTTGCAGAAATTGCGAGCAATCCACAGGAATAAGTTACAACTACTAGTGCTCAATGCCTACCACATTCATGAGAAATGTGCTGGTACTAGGTTCTACTGAACCTCTGACAGCGCGTCAGACAACTATGCGTTCTGAATTCGAAGCCTAGCCATGAACCAAAGCTGTTCAATCGGGCAAAATGCCCAATTCTGGCTGGGCTCAGAGCATCAGAGCACAAATGTTACCAAGCGCTGAAGGCTTCAGGCTCTCTTACGCAAGCTCCCAACGCCATTTGTATAACCCCATTATAGTAGTTTCCATTTTATTTTCCATTATCCCTATATAACCCCAATATATCCCCTATATAATCCCTATAATC